CGTGAGCCGCCAGGTGGTCAACTACAGCGACTCGCGCAGCGCCGAGGAGATCTGCGAGAGCTCCTCCAAGATGATCACCTTCATGGACCTGGCGGGACATCACAAGTACCTGAAGACCACCGTCTTCGGACTCACCAGCTACTGCCCGGACTTTGCCATGCTGGTGGTCGGCGCCAACACCGGCATTGGTCAGATGTCTAATTGAATGTCCTTTTTTTGGGTTAGTGGACCAATTTCTGTCATTTTTATTTTTTTTTTTCCGGGGTGTGCAGCGGGTACCACCAGGGAGCACCTGGGCCTGGCCATGGCGCTGAAAGTTCCCATCTTCATCGCCGTCAGCAAAGTGGACGTGTGCTCGCGGGGGGCGGTGGAGCGGACGCTGCGGCAGCTGGAGCGCCTCCTCAAGCAGCCGGGATGCAACAAGGTCCCGCTGGCGGTCCACACGGCCGACGACGCCGTCGCCGCCGCGCAGCAGTTCGCCCCCGCCGCCTGGTACGCCCGCCGGCTAGCGCACGCGCGCGCGCTAGCCGCCGCCGCCGTTTGCGCGCGCCGCCTCTGATCCGTCGGGCGGGTGTGTGTGTGCAGCGTGACGCCCATCTTCACCCTGTCCAGCGTGTCGGGGAAAGGTCTGGAGCTCCTCAAGGTCTTCCTGAACGTTCTCCCTCCGCTCAGCAACAGCGAACAACAAGAAGAACTCATGCAGCAGCTGACCGAGTTCCAGGTACAAAATCGGGCGAGCGCGCGCACCCTCAATCGGACGCGACTCCCGACACCCGCCCCCCGCGCAATGCCGACAGGTGGACGAGATCTACTCGGTTCCCGACGTGGGGACGGTGGTGGGCGGGACTTTGTACAGGTGAGGGCCGCCGCCGCGGATGAGCTAGCGATTGCGCGATTTCGCTTTTTTTTTTTCGTCAGCGGCGTGTGTCGCGAAGGCGAGCGTCTGGCGGTGGGCCCGACGGACGAGGGCGGCTTCCTGCGCGTGAAGGTTCTGTCCATCCAGAGGAACCGCTCCAGCTGCAGGCTGCTGAGGGCGGGGCAGGCGGCCACGCTGGCGCTCGGCAACTTCGACAGGACGCTGCTGCGCAAGGTAGGCCCCCGGGGGGGGCGGGCCCACGGGTGGAATAAAAAGCCGAAACGAGTCGACAGCGGCGCGCAGGGCATGGTGATGGTGAGTCCCAAGATGAAGCCCAGCGTCTGCCGGCACTTTGAGGCGGCCGTGGTTCTGCTCTTCCACGCCGGGACCTTCCGCCGGGGCTCGCAGGTCACGGCGCACGTGGGCAACGTCAGGCAGACGGCCGTCGTGCAACGGGTGCACGGAAAGGTACCTGCGGGCGCATCGCCCCCCCCCCCACCCCCTCCCCCCGGACGGCGTTTTTGACGCGCGCCTCGCCCGTCCGCCGGCAGGACGAGCTGAGGACGGGCGAGCGGGCCGTGGTGGCCTTTGGCTTCCTCAAACATCCCGAGTACCTTCGGACCGGCGCCAAGCTTCTCTTCAGAGAGGGCGTCACCAAGGGCATAGGACACGTCACGCGACTCCTGACCGCAGAACACGACCAGAACCACGAGAACCAGCAGCACCGCCCCCCCCCCGCCGCCACCGCCGCCGACTCCGGAGGCATTTGAACAACCCGAGCGACGTCGGAGCCACTCCAAGGCGACCGGCGGCGCCGAGGCCACCGGAACCGTCAGAGCCAGCCCGACCCGGTCCGAGCACAACCTGAACGG